GGCCTGCCTTTTATTTAATTTTTATTGGCTTCGCTTACAGTGAACATTTAGCCACCTACAGCATTTCTTTATGTATTCAACATTATTTTTTTAATTCATTTTCTTACTTCTAATTCTAATTAATTTTAACTCAACATGGGCCCATTATTTTTTACGTTCATAATGAATATCAAATATACAAGCTATATAATATGCATACAATGTAATTTAAAACGAAAACAAATCATGGACCAATCTATAAAATAATTATCTTTACATACAAAAATTTAGAAAATTTGTTCATATTTGAGAAGTTGATATTTATATCGCCAAAGTGAATAGTCCTATTTTTTAACTATGAGAAGAGCTTGCATGTAGTTTATAGAACATCACAAAAGCTTATAGAGTATTAAAACTAGTTTTGATTCCAATATAATTAAAATTATATATTTTTAATGTCAATAAAAGCTTAAAGAGACATTAAGTGCCGTTTGGAACAATGTATTTTTAAGTGAAAACTGATGTCACTATTGCTTGACATCGGTCTGTCCGAGGCGTCTATAGATCTAACCACTAAGAATATTGTTTTTTTTATTATATAGTAATTTTTAAACCAGTCTTAAATGGACAATAAATAAAACTAAAAAAAAATTAAAATCACTTTAAAAATACAAATTCTTTTGACCATTATCAGAGATTTTTAAAATTGAAATGTTTTAATGGAATATGAATTGTTTGGCAAGTCGGTTTGGATTAACCCCGAGGCAGATTTGCTACAAAAATTAAAGTCAAAATGCGCAATTCAAAAATTTTATGACACGAAGCACAAGCGATAATCTTATCCCATAATCTGAGAATTACAATCGTTTATTGAGTACATAAATTTGGAAAGTAAGAAACAAGCTGAAGGAATATCGAGCCAGTTATTTGAATAACGGAAATTGTAATTACAGAATTGAATTTTTACGAATATTAAACATACCGGACGCGAAACAACAGTGGTTCCATTCAAGCGTAGGAGTGTTGCGTGCTAAATTCTTTTCTTTCCTAGTACTAATTCTACTTTCACCTTCGATGTAAGTATTAAACGTGGTAACAAATAATAACCATTAAATGATCAGATACGAAATTTGCAAATATCTCCTGTACTGATCGGACGATGGAAATTGGAATCGAGATACCAAGTCAGAGGCAGACGAACAGAAGAAGATGTAGAAATGAATCGTTCAATGGCCTTATTAGTTTTCACATATATTTTGTTAAAATATTATTTTTTGTAATTAATACTATTTAAAATATATGTAAAAGCTAATATGGCCATTGAACGATAAATTTCTGCATCTTCTTCTGTTTAAATTTTAAATCAATATGATAGAATTCGATTTTTATTTGTCTCATATGGTCGTTACACTAGCAATTAAAATCTTACACTTCATCGAATCATGTCCTAGCGAATCTAAATTATATATAGTAATATATAGCATATGAAAGATTGAACCAACAATAAGAAAATATGTTGAAAAAAGCTAAAAATAAAGGTAAATTATTTTTTTAAGTTCTAAACAAAATGCAGAAATGGTAATTAACATGTAAAATATCGACAAAATAAACCAACACCGAAGAAGTCGTTCATTTTAAATGATTCGAACTTTCGTATAAAGTATAATTTCCATAAAAAATTGGTTTACAGTTTTGTGGCTTGAAAAATCATAAATTGAGAAATTTTAGTTGTCCAAGTTAGAACCAATAATTTTAAATTTATAAATTTATCAATTAAAATATTGCAAAATATCTAATGAATATTATTTGTTATGAGAAAAGTATGCAAGATGCTTCAGGTAATAATTTATCTTACATTTATAAGCTTAAGGTACATAAAATATATGTACCCTATTATGTAATTAGGCAAATTAGTTTATTGATTCAAGGTTGCAAGTGTATTAATTTCAAGTTCTAAAACTATACTCATTTTTTATGGAAATTATACTTTTATAATTAAATTCTCTGCTTATTCAGAGTTTTAAATCTCCGTAAACGTGCGATTTAGTTATCTTTCATCGGTATGTTATTTAGATTTTCAAAACATAATATATATAACACAATTATGTGCTCCCAGGGGCTCAAATTGATAAAAAAAATTCTGAAAGTTTTTAGTATTTTATATTAACTTCAAGATAGTCCTCACTCCAACCAAAATTTCTTGGTTCTATAATTATTTGCTTGGGAACTAATTATTTTATAAAATATATCAAATTTTTGCGCATTTTTATTTATGATCAAAATAAGCAAATACAATGTTATTCAAAAGTTTGATTCACTTGTCGGTAAGTGATAAAATTATAAAAAACAAATGTAATTTTACCCATGTTATTTCCATAACAAACTTTGGCTGAATTGTGGACTATCTTAAAGAGCTATTATTATTATAAAGCTTATTGTTAAGAGCTAAAACCTTCAGAAGATTTTTGTATCATTTTCGAAGCATTTTAATCCCTGGGAGAAAAGAAGTTTGAAAAACTCCATATTAAGGACCACCCTAATATATATATATATATATATATATATATATATATATATAATTATTAAAAAACGCCTACAATGTCGTCTGCATATTAAGGATGTGAGATGGAAAGATCAAATATTCGTCGAGATGTTTTTTGTTTATTGAATTCAAGAGCGAACAATGCTTTATTTAGATTTCGTGCACAAATAAATCCGAAAAGAATGTCATTCATAACATTTGAATGAATTATTTGTTTATATTGAAAATTTTTTGTTGAGAGATATGTATTCTTTAATTATTTTATAGAGCAGATAGGCCGGTAAAATGCAATTGATTATTTGGAAATTAAAAAAATGAAATATCTAAATCGTAATTAGGCAAATTTAGTAGTAGAAAAACAATTGGAAAATATCCATATTAAGGACCACCCTAGTATATGTATAAATATATATTTAAATAATTTAATTACACAATTCTATTATAGTAAAATTCGTCTTCAAATGAATTTGGAACATACAATTCCGTTTAGTAGAACGTAAGAGGAATCTTAGAGGCATAAAATGTCTTCAGGTTTAAAAGACACCTAGAAACTAGTTCGACGAGTTCTGAGACTTCTGAGCCGGTATATTTACCATTAGAAAAAAACTCGTTCGTCTCGAGAGCTAGACTTGTCATTATTTCAAATAACAAATATGTATTTAATACGATTACATAGTAGTACACATACTACCTAATGCAATTGTTATATATACATATTTAGATCATTGGATTTATTGAATTTTTTTTAAATATTGTTATTATTGCAAGTGAGATTCTTATTGGAATAGAAGATTTCGTCTGAATAAAAAGAATTATCAGAATTGATGCACTTGTATTTTCAAATATTTATATCGCTACGTGCGCGGACGTGAATGCTACAGCATTCATTCCATTGGCATTAATATATCATTCAAATTTGAAAACCAATGTTAAATTTTAATTTTAATATATCAAAATTGAAAAGGCTTACTACTGCGTAACCTTTTGGATCTAATGTTTAATATTTCATATATCATCAAAATTACTGAATGTCGTCCTTTTTGTAAAGACAGATTGTAATTCAATAAAGAGAATAAAAAAAATATTAAATTTAATGGTAGGTATATGATCTTACGTTTTTGTAATTATTATACCTGTCAAGGTAATGACTAACTGATTCTTTAGGTATTAGAATTCTTTAGTTAGTAATTAGCATTCATAGCATATTAAAATATGATAATCTGACCACCCTTACAGACTTACAGTCGTTGTTTAATCAAGTTTGGGATATCGAAACCAATTTTAAAATAAAACGACTGTCAATGTTTGAAACTTTTACTATCCGTGAACGTGTTAAATTCGAATTTTGATTCATTTTTAATTTACAGACTTTTCAATAGGTTGTTTTTGATACATATTTATAGTGTATGCTATAGCATTCATCAAATTGGCATGAATATAGCATTCGAACGAATGACTAATTGATTCTTTAGGTATTAGAATTCTTTAGTTACTAATTAGCTTGGACAAGCACATTGCGTAAAATAGAAGCGTAATACTTGACATGGATGCTATTGCATTCATAGCATATTAAAATATGATAATCTGGCCACCCTTATAACCGTTATTTAATCAATTTTGGGGGATCATAACCAATTTAAAAATAAAACGACTGTCAATGTTTGAAACTTTTACTATTCGTGAACGTGTTAAATTCGAATTTTTATTCTTTTTTAATAATACATAATTATAGTGCATGCTATAGCATTCATCAAATTAGCATGAATATAGCATTCAAACGAATGACTAACTGATTCTTTAGGTATTAGAATTCTTTAGTTACTAATTAGCTTGGACAAGCACATTGCGTAAAATAGAAGCGTAATAATTGACATGAATGCTATTGCATTCATAGCATATTAAAATATGATAATCTGACCACCCTTGTTTAATCAAATTTGGGATATCAAAACCAATTTAAAAATATAACGACTGTCATTGAAACTTTTACTGTCCGGGAACGTGTTAAATTCGAATTTTGATTCATTTTCAATTTACAAACTTTTTAACAGGTTGTTTTTAATACATATTTATAGTGTATGCTATAGCATTCATCAAATTGGCATGAATATAGCATTCAAACGAATGACTAACTGATTCTTTAGGTATTAGAATTCTTTAGTTACTAATTAGCTTGAATACATGGCGTAATACTTGACATGGATGCTATAGCATTTATAGTATATAAATATTAAAATATGATAATCTGAATTAAACGCCACTTTTAATCAAATTTCGGATATAAAACCAATTCAAAAATAAAATTACGTGTTAAAATTGGGCATTAATTCAAATTTTGATTCATTTTAAATTTGAATTAATTAATAATTTATAGTGTATATAATTTTAAATCACTCTCTATGTATCGTCAAGTAATTTAATTCATAAATTTAGTTTTAATTTAATTTATAAATAATCAAACAAAAATAATTTCACTTACCACCAATTAATCCATAAGCAGGTAACCAAGGTCCTCCAGACCCCCAGTCAACGCTAAGACCATCCATTTTATTTATAATATATTAGCACTGAATGATTTATACAATTTCACAATTTTAACATAATTAAACATTTCCAAAATGTGAAGAACACTTTTACAATTTTATGCAATGATCCATTCATTGACCATTAATCACTGTCTAAACGTAGAAAACAAAACAGTCATAAAATATTAAAATTTTGTAAAAATCACAAAAACACATTTGTTTAATAATAAACTGTCTTATAAAACTTATCTAGCAGCTAAATTAATTAGCCAGTTTTTTTATTATACTGAACGATTCTTCAAAACACCTGTAAGAATACACCGTGCGTGCAACGGGTTCACAATCTTAAGAAACTACTAATTTCAAAGGCACTATTCAGACTTTTATATTTGTAAACAACGTTAAGTCTCTTCTGTCAAATGTATGAATTTATCTTGAAAATAATATATAGTATTGAATATTATTCGAAATCAAATCATGAGCGCGTTAGGTGAGTTGCACGTTTCACGGTAGACTGCAACACCGCACCGCCGCTAGTACATACCTCCGTCTGAAGACGCCGAGGGACAGGGCTGGCCTCAGCCAGCGAACCGTAAAAACAAATGGGAATAGAAAAACAGAATGTTTCGAATCACAATAGAATTATAAAAAAACAACAGAGTTTTTATTACAACAGCATATTTTTTAATATTTTTAAAAACTATATAAGATGATCTTTACTGTCAATTATTAACTAAAAAAAATATTTTATTAGAGTAAATATTTATTTGATTAGATATTTGAAGCCAAATAGCCAAAATAAAAAACAATTTTCAAAACAATAAATAAATAACTATTTATTTATTTCTACATTGTACGTGTGTTATCATTCAGTTCGTTAACAAATTCAAATCGGGAAAAAACACGGACACAAATTTAGAGACATTGTTTAATGACAAAACAATCTAAAAATAAAATAATTAACTAAAAGTTAAATAATATTTTTTTTAATTGATTGAATAGTTTTCTTTACTAATTTTTTGATACAATCAAATTAATATTTTCTCGGTTAAATAGAATTTATTTTCTAATTTAAAAAAATCGATTTAAATAATATTTAATTCAGCCACTAAGATGCAAAACCACCAATACCTATAAATACACTAAAGTCGTATGATAAACATTTAATTTGCAATAATAAATATTGAGATCAATAATTAAGATAAAAACTATTCTATCCTTTTGGTTAGACTATATTATATGAAGTTACAAAATTTGTTCAGTAGTTTTGGAGTTTATTGCAATCATACATATAGTCACCAAATTTATATATATATATATATATATATACATATATATAAATATATATATATATATATATATATTATAGTTTTATGTAAATTCTTGAATTTGCCGTTCATTTAATATATACGAGTTGTGTTTCAATAATCGTTACATAAAAAAAATTCGATGATTTTTTTTATATCCATACATTTCTGCTAAAATACTTGCTATTGCTGTATTATTTCTGATATAATTACAAAAATGTAATTTTATAAAGTTGTATGTTTTGAATAACTATTCGTAACACCCCCACTATGAATTCATTAAACGTAGATCGCAATGATAATTTTCAATATATAAATTTGTATTTGTATTTTTATAATATATATCATATATTTGGATATATCCTAATCTATATGGAATTGATAGAAATTTCTTGAGCGGAACCTTTTTAACTTTCCGTAATCGCAAAAAATCTAAAATGAAAATTATAATTACAAAAATTAGACAAAAATATTGGAGATTTTTACTTAATATTTGGATATTAGATCAGGTAAGTATTTTTTAAGATTATAAATATTATATAATAAAAGAAACAAATGTTCTTATATATGATCTACTTACATTCATCTAACAATTCTCTTTGTAATCATCTGTTAATTTCATGTCACCTCCTTAACATCGCCTGGCTAATAATTTATTACTGACCATATCTGTTCCAAACAAGTTGCTTCAAAATTCTAAATGAGATAAATGCGTTAATAATAATAATTTAAGAAGTAATAAATAAAATCAATTTCATTTTATCATAACTCATACTTTTAAAATCTCGTCAAAAGTAATGAATAGAAGTAAATTATGTGCACTTTGTAATCATATTAGTGACTGAATTTGTTTTGCTTTTGTAACCATATCGAATTATATTATCCATTTTAATATAAATAAATTCTTACCTATATAAACCTTAAATGGACGAAAAATTGCTGTACCTTTTTTTAGTTGCTATTGGAATAGGGAGCAACTATGAATAACATCAAGCCACATTTTTGAAATTCCTATAAAATTTCAAACTACGCTTCCATTAAATAATAATTTTGTATCTCTTTACACATTTATTAATTTATTCACAAGAAATATAAATTTGCAACCAATTTGCTCAATTACTTTGTTCAAATTTATAGTGCTCTGTAAAAACTGATTCTGTATTATAATTTTATGTTTCAATTCGTACACGATTAAATTGAAGAAACTGATCTGCTATTAATCTAAATATTATATTATATTTACACTTGTTTATAATAAATATATTTACACTTATAATTAATGTGTTATGCTATTTTCCCAACTCGATTATAATATGATTGTCAAACAAATTTTTCACAGTGAAGAAAATAGACCCTTATCCTAGATGGTAAAATAATGGCCAACGTTCGTTCAACATACGCAATGAATAAAAATGGTACAAGATATAATAAATGGCAAAATGTGTCAGTTATGCCAACAATTATAAATTATAAAATTAATCTCACAGGAATAGATTATGAAAGGATCTCATTCTCAAATAAAGTTATTGTATATTTCGTATTGTAGTACATTCGCATATTGATTTACCTAGTGAGGGTCTCCGTCGGATTAGTATCTACCAACCCTGTCACACGCGAAAAGGTCGTTTATTATACACCTCAGGTCAAATCCAAACATTGTACTAAATACAACACTATAAAACGCCATAAATTCCACTTGCTAATCTTTACAACGATTGGTAATCAATTTTATAAACTTGTATGTTTTGAATAATTATTCGTAACACCCCCTACAATGAATTCATTAAACGTATGCAATATATGAATTTGAATTTGTATTTTTAACTGTAAGGTAAGTTATTGTAATCGTCTAAAAATTGAAATTGAAAATTTTTACATTTCTTCACGTTTTGAAAATTTCTGAACATTTTGTCATACGCACAGTATGGATACAATTTTTCGTCCACGTTTTCGGGCGCACGGATCAACCGATTTGAATGGTTCAAAAAACATTCTATTCCTATTAATAGAGAGACAAAGAGTGCAGAAAATAGAAATTGAGTTTTTGAGAGCATTCAATTTGAATTGTCTTGATTAACAAAAAAAAATCGATTTGAATGATCTTAAAAACATTCCATTCCTAATGACGGGGAAAAGTGGCGATTAATTTTCGGCAAAGGCAGGTCCAGCCGTTTCGGAGATACCGAGCTAAATGTGCAAAAAATGGCAGTTTTTGAGAGAACTAAGCATCAGATTTAAATGATTCAAAAAACTTACGGTTTGAAACAATCGATTTCGGAAAAAAAAAATTTCCAAAAAAAATAAATATAAATAATAATACATAGAACTATTTGTATGAAAGGGATAGAAATTTCTTCAGCAGAACCTTTTTATGTAATAATTTCAAGGATTCCTGATTGCGATTTTTTACAAATAATAATAGTACTTTTGGTCCATAAAATCAAATAATTTTAAAACTAAGTATATCTGTAATATAAGTCGTCTTAAAGAATCGTATTGAAGACTTGTGATTTAGATAACACACCAGAAAGTGAATCTGAAGTTTAATTCTGATTTTTTTATATAATAATTAATGCATGTTTTTCATATAATTATTTCTTATAATCCCCTTAAATATGACTATCAATGAAATTATTTTATCTTGAATTAAAAAAAACTCTGATATGTTCCTTATTTGATGATCTCTAGTACAATATTATTTATAGGATGACCTAATACGATATTTTGATAATTGCTAATAAATTCTTTTAATTTATCAACATTCTGCTTCTCTTCTTTATGTAATAATTTTATTGAACCCTCTTTAAAATAGTTATCCTAATATACCCTAATGTATGTTTATCTTTCTTAGGCGAAGCCCTATTGTATTATTTATAAATAAATTGTTTATGTCCACATACAAAAATCTAAATAAATTATATATCAATAACGCAAATAAATTAATTATTTTTCCATTAACTATCAAATTAAACCCCCTCTGTGGGGCGTGTGACTAGGGAGGGAAACACTACGACCCTTTATTTGTTTATACACAGCGAATACCATAATGATTATGACCAATTCAAACAAGACTGAAAGTAAGGTTGAACAAATACATATTTTAATTTAAGCAATTTATTAATAATTCATTTAGTTCATTATAAATTTAGATTTGTACTCAATCACTAGAGAATACATCTCGCAAGTGATGCTTCGTCTTAAGTTAGAATTTTCAGGATTTTTTTAATAAAAAATATAAGGATTATGAATATGTTACAATACTAAAATAAATTATAAGTATAGACTTTAAAATAAATTCACAAAATAAACTGTTAAAATTCAGTTAATGCATTAATGTCATATTTTAGTAAATAAGTCTTAATATTTCATTAATTTTTATATTGTTTATAAAAATATATACATATTAATCACCTTTAATGATTCCATTGTATTAAATATAATAAAATATGTGAGTAAAACATTAATAATTTATTTATATTCAGTGATGTGAGGTTTTGTAAATGCAAGTATTAAGTACTGAAAGAATATATCTTCAACGACACTCAATTGCTCAACTGTTTTTTTCTTTATGCACGTAGTCTTCTATGGAACCACTAGTAGTAATCATTCAATCGGTTTGCATTAAATAATGTTACAATCTCAAACGACATACATACATAAAATTAACATGTGATATTAAAATATCATCATATTTGCTTCACAACTATTACATTATTATTTCACATATTATTCACTTAGTTAATTCATAATTTTATAAAGTTATAAATATTATTCTTCTATTTATACATGTTTTACAAACGGTGTTTGTAAATAAAAAATATTAAATTGTTTGACAAACGATTATCAGTTAAATTCATCATATTTCCATAAAGTTTTCAGAGCAATACGTGAGGTACCAGCACCCCACAATACAAACATATATACAATACAATGTTTTCAACCTGTTTATTTTGGTTTTTACATAAAGAATGGTAAACGTTCATAAAGAACTCATGCAATGTGATGAGTTATTATTCCAGTTACGAATATGTGCAGCAAATATTAATCATGGCTCTTTAGAGCTAGAACAACGTGAAAACCAAAATAAATGATGCTAACAGCAAAACAAAAACATCTCCCATTTAATAAAATAAACATAGCATACTCATAATATCAAGTTAAGTTAAAGATTATATAGGAAATAACAATGAATTAATTTATTAACTAAATATAACATTTTTCTTCATGATGAATAATTATGTGAAGATATGAACATCATAACTTTCGATGTAAAAATTATTCTAACTTTATATTATTTAGATTAATGTCAGGTACATTGTAAACTTACGGTAGATCAACAAATTAAATTAAATTAAAATCGCTAAATAATTTGTAATAAAATCTATAAATATTCATATTTCAAAGCTATCTAAATATTAGTAAAATTACTAAGCTAATAACTTTTACATTATTAAAATAAATCACATATGATAACATTTCCATTCGAATGAAAATGTCCCCTGATTTACATTTTTTATTTTCATTTAGGTGTTTAAAATGCTATTAAAATAATCACTATTCATTTTCAAATGATATAGTATTTAATATAAATTATCTAATCAGTATAAAAATTGCTCATAAAATTATTTATTTAATTTTATATTTAAAACAACAACGCAAATGTTAAATTAGTTCTTCCAAAGCATTATTTTATCAGTTACTTGAGTCCTGCATTATAGTGTTTTATTCAATTATTTTATAAAATTTATATAATTAGTTCACTTAATGCAGAGTTTGTAATAAAAAAACCTATTATAAAAATATAGGGATGTTGTTAAACCTATTTTAAAATATTTGAACAAGTTACTGATATCAATATAAAATATATTCTCCGATATAGTTTTTGTAAGACGTTATCTGCTCATTTCAGATATTATAAAAATACATAGAGATTCTATGTATGTGATATTACAAGATCACGAAAGTTATTCTTCTTTAATCATTGAAATTGCTTTCTGTGTTGCAAGCAAAATATCTTCGTAAACAGGCACATTCTCTCTTCTTGCCATATCTGCTAAATAGGCACGGCCGCGATTGAAATCTTTAATTGCAGTTTTTGTTAACTAAAAAATAAACATTAAGCTATATTTTTGCCAACAATTATTCTTAAATTAATAAATTAAATGTAGTGATATGAAATTGCTTGTTTGTAATATTTAAACAAGATAAATCTTTCATTTCAGTATATTTTTAACTTCCCATGGGGTAAGTTATAGTAATCATAAAAAAATCAAAAATGAAAGTTTTTATATATCTTTACGTTTTGTAGGCTTTTGAACATTTTGGCATGAGAAAAAATGGATGTATGTTATTATATATTACTATATATTACTCAATATAAGTTTAAAATTTGAAATGCCCTATTTTTTTTACTTTATAGCTTTATATACATTTGATAAAATGCTATTTGAAATAAGTAAATACTTACCTTTTCCCCACAAATTGAAGAGTTCTCACTCAGCATTTCTATGCACAGGACCACTTTTCTGCCTTCGCCTATGCAAAAAGCGGCCAGAGTCATAGGTGCAAGCGATCTGGTTTGATTCGTTATATAGAACAGGAGTACTCTACTATTTTCAATTAATGAAGGATTATATAAACTTCCATTATCTGGTCCTATAAAATCTTCTAACACATCTGTATCATTAAAATCTTTATAGCTTAAAGATTCCCCATTCACTGAAACTGGTGAATTCAAAGAAGAAACTGTACTTATACTACTTCCAGAACTTGATCTATCTATATCTATTAAATTAATTGTGAGATTTGCTTTAGTAATAGTAGACTCATGGTTATTGGATTTATAGTTTTCATCATCTTTCAAAAAATTTATATCATCATATTTCACTCGTTTTTCTGGGTGGTTTATGTCTGACTTATCTGATCCCAAACTCATACTTAAGCCACATGTTTCATTGTAGAAAACTGGAGTGTAGTGAAATGCATTATAAGCTTTAGCTAAACTTTCATGCAATTTGGGAATATGGTAGGTGACGCCATTGTCTTCCAACATAGGTATGACGATATCCTGACGCCATTTTGTTCTTAGCATACATGATCCACCAAGATAAATATCACGCTTAGGTACATCAAATTCAGCACTAGCATTTATTGAATTTATTTCATGATCTTTGGAATTATAAGGAGTATTTGTAGTAGTACCATTCAGATTGCTATTGTCCACTGTGTTGTTGTTTGAGGAACTTTGTCGATGAATCACTTGCTTGTTAACCCAATCTGAAATAAATTCATCATTATAATCAAAATTATCATAGTTAAAGTGTAAATCTTGCAGGTTATTTTTTTATAAGCAATAAATTGCTGAATTCTAATTTGTTCTTGACAATTATTTTTTTTTACAAATAAAGTAAATTTAAAAAGAAATAGAAAAAATATTAAGTAAAAGCTAATTTATTACCTATTAACATGCGAGATTTTGAAATCAATCTAGAAACATAAAAACAAAAAGTGCATAACATAAACTGCAATTGCAAACATGTGGCAATGTGAACTAAAACAAGCTATAAGAAAACAAAATAACTGATTGTGAGTATAAATTTATAATCGAACTTGATTTCTCATTCCATTATCAGATTCTGGGTATGTGAATATAACGGATTTAATTTTTTTTTTTCGACAGTAACTTTCTGGATTCATCAAATTAATTATAATTGTACACCTAGCTAATAAACAAAAGTTAAAAAGAAAAATTATTTAATTTCTAGAAAAATATTAAAATCAGAATAATGATAATTTCAAGAGTGGAATAATGAAGCAGAAATAAAATTGAAGTACTTCATAACTATGTAGACTGAACTTTCAAATACCTATCACAAATGTGAGACTCTTTTTAAAATAGTTTTCTAATGCACTTTTTGTTGATAACCAAATTTGAGTAATGTTCGACAAATTACCAAAATTATTTGCATTGTATTTGTCATTTTCTGCCATTTGGGATCTTTTGCAATTTAGTTCTGATATTACAGCACAGAATTGTTGGAAATCCAATGTCATAGTTGCATTTTTGTTGGTTAAAGAATCATCAATGCTTTTGTTCTGTAAGTAATAATTAAATTAAAACCTAAGTTGTAGAAAAAATGCATAAATAGAATAAATAATGGTTATTTTAATATTTTATCCAGAATTCACAGGATTTTTTTGATTTAACAATATTAAATAATCCAACATTAAAATATTCACATATATTTTTACAATTGAAGTACATCAATCTTAATGGTGACTTACCGTATGCGAATTTAGATCAGATAATAAATCAATAATTTCATCTTCAAATGTAGATATTCCCATTTGTATCAACACTGCAGCACATTGTGAAATTGTTATGTAACCATTTCCCGATAAATCAATAGAATCAAATTTGCTTCTAAGGTCTCTATAAAAGAATAGAAAGATTAAGATAGTATCAAAAGGTAAATATTTGATATAATTATATTATAATTATTACTTACTGCAATGTTTTTGAAACATCCAAACCACTCGTATAAACAGTACTCAAAATTTCATGATTTATCAGTTGCTTTGTGCGGACCAAAGCTGATTCTATTGTACTTAACACTGGAAATCCTCTACTTTCTACAAGTTCTTGAAGCATCTGCTGGTTTCTTGATAAATCTAAGAACTCCCTGAATTATAAAGGATATATGTTGAAAAAAAGATTATATATATATATATATATATATATATATATATATGTTAAAATATTTCAATAATTTTGATGTTGAAATATGTGAGATTCAATCTTCAGAGCAATACATCAATTAAAAAATAGTAAAAATTTATAAAAATTTTATTATTCCATACGTTTCGACAAATTATTTCATGTCATCTTCAGTGGACTAAAATTTGAAAGAAACAAATATAAAATTACCAAACTATGTGACAATGAAACAATGAATTAAAACTAATTTATAAAGAAATAATATAGTGTAAAAACTTGCATGTAAACTATAATACTCTCAATTATCTCAGATAATAATAATTCACAATAGCACTAATAGACCAATACTTGTCAGTTTAATTCAACAATTATATATATTTTTAGAATACATTTTTAATGTAGATGGTAGCATGATGCTTATACCATTTGAAGCGACAGTAAATAAGAAATTTGCAAACCACATGTTATGTTAGGTAAAGGGACATATACGCAACATAGAAATTAAAGTTTTGAAATCGAGAAGGGCACACGGAATAAAAAGATGACAATTGTGAGGGTAGAGGACTTAATTGCTATGAACTGAGTTAAGATGCAAAAAGGAAAATAAAATAATCAAATCAGGAATTTAAATTGTTTAGACTGTAATTTAATTTACATAGGAGAAACTAGCCAGAACCTGAATAAACGGTTACAACAACATAAAAACAATTAAAAAAAACCAAACAATTCAAAACTGTACTTGCAGACCATATATACACTTTAAAAAACAATATGGACTTTTCTAATCCGACTGTACTACAATTCGAACAAAATTTATTTAAACGAAGAATTATAGAGGGATCTTTTTTAACTATTTATAACAATAAGACAATAAATAAACGGAATGAACTTAACACGCTGTGCGACACAAATCTCTTCTATTTAGATAACATTTCCAAACTTCTTACAAAACAATAAAAGCGTTCGCGCAAAGAATTCGCAATTCGTTCCACACATGTGTAGAATCTTGGTAAAAATATTTTTTAAAAAATGTCTTTCTCCATTACGTCTTCAACCAGTCTACAAATAACAAACTATCCATTTGTGATTTTTTAAAATCAGTATTTTGTGAAAATATTGTGTAATTTCAAGTTAATGTTTATAATACATAGTGTAGTGCATTACCATATCCTAATACCATGGATTATTAAAATTTTCCAATTTAACACTAAGATCAACTAATTGTAAGTACTATTTACTATTTTATTTTTTCTTTTCACTCCAATTCAATTGTTTTAGTTTTTAATTTTATTTTTAGTTTCCACTGAATGAAGGCTAGGATTATAGCCGAAACGTATGGATTTAAAATAAATTTTTGAAAGAAATTCATGTTTTTTATTGATGTTATGCCCGATTATTAGACTTTGTTAATACATATGTCAACATCAAATTCAGAATCATACAATATATATATATATATATATATATATATATATATATATATATATATACAGGGCCGGTCCTACCTTGAATGCGATGCATGCAAAAAATGCGGGCGCACGCCTTAGGGGGCGCCAAAACGAGATTCGGATATGCAATTTATAATATAGTTTTTTCAATATCATTTAAAAATATATATAATTTTTTTGCATCTTTTACTTTTCTTGGACAATATTTTTAAACTTTAAAACAACAATCTGATACACGATGGAAAAGTATAGATGAATACATACAATTCGGCTTTTGCTATATCAATTAAGAGAAGTTTACGATGCAAGTTAAGATATTTTAAATAATGAAAAATTAAAGTAAAATAATTTAACATCAAGTACTAGTGTTATGTTCAATAATAAGAGGCTAGATTTTTTGGCTTTCTATGATTTGTTCAATAGAATAGGTCACATAAAAACTCCAAAATAAATAAGTAAAATTTTTCACAACCAAATATTAATATTACACATGCGCTAGAGTTAAATGAAAATTTAAAAATATTTTTGCAAGCAATAATGAACATACTGAAATTTTTAGATGTCCGAAAAAGTTTGGATTGAAAATAAGAATTTCAAAAGTTCCTTAGTGCGATAACTATAGAAGGCACTACTATTTGATTATTAGCACCCACAAATCGCCTTGATCTTCTAAATAATTTAAAATCAATGTATTTTATGCGCATTTTGATTATATCTAATTTTTTGTGTACTAAATCTAGATTTACTAAAAATTATTCACCAAAATTAACGTAAATAAACTGTTTTAAAAGTTAAAATAATAAGGGGGGGGGCGCTGGAAAAAATTTGGCATGCGGGCGCTGAGTACCCCAGGACCGGCCCTGTATATATATATATATATATATATATATATATATATATATATATATGTATATAATGAGATTCTTTTATATGTTATAAAATTTGGCCATCTTTACTCTATGAACTTATTTGAAATAGAAAAAGATTGAGATAAATCTGAACTTACTGTGGACTGAGTTTCTCATTCAATATGGACTGCCCTGGTCGATATGGTCGAAGCACGAGCACCAGGCTGCGTTTTTCAGCAGCTATTTGCGCGACTTCTATGGATCCGGCTGTGCTGCGCGTCTCATCATCCATTACGAAGAACATGACGCGGGCGCAACGCTTGGCTTGGTATTCAATATCGATTAGTTCTGGCGTCCAGTGCGATACTTGCTAAGATTTAAAAATCGTGATTCGAACCGATGATTCTACTCCAATTAACAAGATAAAAAAAATCATATGTGAGTATATTTACCGGATTGTAGTAAGTGATCCCTAACTTCTCCAGTGCGGGAATTGCTTTATCTGTTCTCCAAGTGGTCGGATTACAACTGCCGCCCAGAAAAACTTCATTTTCTTTCCTGCAATCAAATTCACTTGCGATTCTGTCATTGATTTCTTCCGTTGCATTATCTAAACTTGTAAATTTACCATCCGTATCATTAAAGCCAGTAATGTCAGGATTCGTTTGTGATGCGGTCGAATGGATTTGCGTGTGATTGCTTTGAACGTTGCGTATTATTCTACTATTAAAACTACTACAGTCTAAAGAATTTTTTTTGTTCTTTATTGCTTCCATCGGTTGCCTAAAAAAGTAAAAATTGAATGTTAATTTTGTGATAAATTGTGTATCTTTTAGGCTTTCAGTATAAACTTTCAGTGTCAGGATAATTGACACTCATTAATGGCATCAAATCAAATTTAAATACCAGGGTGGGGCCAATTATGTATGGAAACACGCCCAGACCCTTTCATGAAAGCATAATACAGCATACTTTATCAACAAAAAATTTAGATCGTTACAATGTAAAATAACGAACTATCCAAACTCACTTATCGAGTCTCCGAAGTTCTGCGGCAAAAACGCAGAATTCCGCAAAAGTAAGAGAATGTTTTTCTGCATATCTGCTTGCTGGCTGATCGTTATTTCTTTCTTGAATAGATATTGGATTACTTCTGTTTGTTACAGGTGAATTATGGGAGTGATGTGAGGTGTGATTTGTAGCACTGTTTCTACGTCTCGATGATGAAGAAAGTGATGCACAACGCCGTGATGCTTCCAACATTTCTTGTACTGAAACAGGTAAGTTTAGTTATAAAAGAATATTTAATAAAACATTCTAAATTATACTTTTTGGGATATAAATGCACAAACTAAACTCATAATTACCTTGTCTTTTCGTGGGGTATAGTTGCATTTGATTAAATAACGCTTGAATTTTATCAGGAGGCACTGGTTGATTTGGTGACCTAGGTTTCCAAACTGAGAGCGCCTCACTGGAATTAAATTTGATTTTTCAATTTTGAATTTGAAAGGGTGTTTCGATTTTTTGAAGCCATGGGCTTTCGCATTTCAAAGCTGAAATGTTTTAAATAATATCTTCTAGCAAAAACTAAGCATATATAACTATACACAAACTTCTCTATATGATTACTTCTTGACAATACATGATAATATCAATTGACCAACACAAAAATGTTTTTTTTTCAAATTCTCCAAAATATTTCGTCTATTTTATTATAAGTACATTATTAATCTTCTCTAAAAATATGACATAATTACAAAATAATAAATTTAAAGAATACATACATAAACTCAGCAAGGCATTGCAAGTATATAATTGTTAAAACAAAATTCATAACTTTTATTAAGATGCACTTGAATTCACAGTTTTAACGTATTCAAATACTAAACAATATTAAAAGTGTTTGAGTCTTGATACCATTTTAATGAAAAATGTCATCTTATAGGTCAAATGTCGTAAGATAAGAGAGATCAGAAAATAAATAAGAAGATAAAAATTACTTTACGTTTATGTAATTAGCTGGAATATTCATAAAATATTAAAGTTTTAAATTAAAGATTAAATCATTCATTTGTCATATAAGAAGTTTACATATTTTCCATAAATTTAAAATAACATTATAGCAAGAGCAGTTCGATATTTATACAATAGAGATATGGAGCTAATTTTTTTTTCATAATACACTGTTATCATGCTATTACTTTTTTCATAATAACTTATCGTGTATAAACGTCAATTAATCGTTAGATTATTTATAAAAATATAGAGAGATATGACACAAAACAGGCGATGGACCTTCAGAAAAATGTAATATTGCTTTTAAAGCAATTGAGTGAATGAAGCTCTATACTCTGAACTAGTAAAAGATCACTCACTAGTACTACATCCTACATCGAGTTAACAGAAGTCATATATACAAATATTTTGATAGTTTCTGAGCTTTTGACAGTTGGTTGCAGGTGCATTATATGTAATGGTAAAAAACGTGGTACTTAAAAATTATTACAAGCTTGTAATATTTATAACTCTGGAATTTAACTCCTTAAACTGCTACTAATATTTATAAAGAGAATGTGAAAGCTTAGGTTGATTGTCATGAATTAGACTAAAATTACATAGATATGTATTATGATATCCAAACATTACACGTAAAAATCAACTTTTTTGTACGCCACTGTTACCGATTACCTTCAAATTTTCGTACGCGCCGTCGGTAATTAAGATAATTTAAAACAGTGTCCCGGCTTTGGTTTGTGTAGCTTTTAACCTTATAAATCGCAAAACACAATCATATTCCCGCATGCTATTTACATTCGATAAATATTCTATCAGTATATTATGAATATACGTTTTCGCGATTATTTCGATAGCAATGAAAACGATTCTAAAATAACAATGACATCATTTACGATATTCTTTGAGTGTTGTGATAATACGCACAACTTCGATGTTTTATGCGTTGAAATAATAGTAATCAAGAACATAAATAAAGATCAGTAAATGACCAGAGTATTGCATTGAACCTGGATGCAGGAGATTCATTCATAAATGACTCAGTAAAGGCATTAAAACTTTAATTTGAAGTATAAATCTTATTTTTAAATAAAACAGTAAACAGTAAAATGTGTATTCAGTAATTTCTTTTGTTTGAATTTATGTCAATCAACTGACATTGATTGTCTTATAGGTTATTTAGAAATGTATAGTAAATCTAATAAACTCTATTGCAGATGTTCAACATGTGAAATTTTGCCTTTTGTATATATTTACAAAGGGTATGAGCATGTTACCATACAGAATCGGTATTTGAATGATTTTATTGAATCGCCCTGATATTTAAATGTTTTGATGCCATTTTATAGATATTTTGCAAAAACTCTGATATACCAATTTCATCATTTGGCGGAGATATCATTTAGAGATGAGACAGTGGCCCGCGACTCTATTCACATCGACTATCTTATTTAATAATAATTTTAAACAATTATTGAACAAAAATACTATTATTTTATCTCGACTCTATATATACGAAACTTTTACTGATACCGAGTCGAGATATATATGCAGCATTTCAACAACTACCAAAAAACGCATTTCCCGTCTAGATTAATTGATTTATCAATATTCAGAAGTTATAGATTAAACATGGCAGAGAATAATAATAAAAGTAAGTATTTGTATCAAAATTGTGATCTTCACGACTCATGTTTATAAAACTCATAAAATTATCAGTGAGACGACTTATAAAAATATTTAAAAAGAGATAATAATGTCATTCCATATTGAGCCCTTAATGAAGCTCGAACATCAACTCCAAAACATGACAATTACCAACAATTGCTCCACAATCACGTATTATGTATCCAAACCTCGATTTCCTTATTGCCCATTTAATATCGTTAACAGGTGCTAAATTGCTTCACAAAAGGTTTTATTTATATTCATAACATTGGATACGAAGTTTTCCGTGTTGCGTGGGCTAACAAGTCGACAGAAATTCAAGTGTTACAGAACCATCATCTCAACTATAATTTCGATTCAGGGCCAACGAAGATTATTCTAGGTTATCGGTTTATAATAGAAATTCGGAAACTAGTAAGAAATTGTATCGAGTTCATGGCTGGATTTACCGCCGATTTGATAGATCTGTCTTTGAAATCTTAGCGCGTGTTATGATACGAAAGAAATGTACTTGAAAGCTATTTCTGATAGAGAAATTTAACCTGATTTCTGGTATGTTTGAAATTAATGCATCTTCATATTGGAAATAACATGAATAACTCTAATCTGAAGGTTATAATAGTGTAGATTTTTCTAATATACATTTTTTTCTGAACAATTATTACTCCTATTTAATTTATAGACATTAAACAATAATAATTGACAAATATCCTATCAATCCTATAATTAATTGTTTAGAAATACCATAAGTTTAAAAAAGAGTTAATATATATATATAATAAAAAACTAACATGTACGATTAAATTTCTCAATTTTTAAGCAGATTTATGAAAAAAACGCTAAGAACCTGAAAAGGATTAATTTGGAAATTGTTACTACATAGAAGAAAAAAAAATCAACTATAATTTAAATCCATAAAAAAAGTTTGGGTCAAATGTTTTCAGTATATATTAATATTTAGTCATAATAAAGCACCATATTGAAAAAGTTCATATATTAATCATAATGTATATACCAGCTACAAGTTCATATATTATAGCATTCTCAAATTTAATTTACTTTTCACATCACTTCCTCGAGACTCATCTCATGAATCGTTAAGAAAATAATCTCAAACCCACAAAATCTGTGCAAATTCATATTTTTTATTTTACATAATTCATCATCGTTTTTTTAACAACTTCCTGTATTTGCATACGGAATGATCAGGTTCCGGAAATTATTGTTTATTTTCCGCCAAATGAATGATAAAAATACGCTTCAAAAATGGACAGGTCAATGAATAAGCTGATTTGCCTTCAATTCTACCTTGTGACCATTTATGAAGATCATATCATAACATTTTTATGTAAAATATATGCGATAAAACGAAAAATAATATCGTTGCGGAAATCAATTTCAGTTATTTCGCAGCTATATTAGGTGATATTGCATATATTTTTGAACACAATTTGGATATACATTTGATGAAGGGCTAACTATTTAATATGTAGATTAATGTAAATTTACGCCTCTTCTTTCATAAGATTTCAACGTAGTATAAGATCTTATTCTGGCCGTACTCAAATATCAAGCCTGCTAAATAAAAACTAACGTTTAATTCTCTATAAATATAAATGCAAATAACTAGTTTAATTACCAAATATGAATTTATATAATTAAAGTAAAAGTTTATTAGTTTGATCTATCGTAAATTAACATATCAAGGTCGATTATGAATCTGTTGTTATTCATTTTAATATGTGACAATAAAATATGCTTCCGAGTAAAAATAGCCCTACACCGCTATATAAGCATCAAATTGAAAAATATATTATCAATGTGAAATAACTAATAACTTAAATATGTACAATATAGATAGGTCGTTATATTGCCTTTGAAAAAAACAGGTGTTTTATATAGTTAAGGGGAAGTATCAAAAGCAAAAAACTGTGAGTAAAATCTGTTATTAACAGTAACTTTGTTCTAAAGTTTAATCTTCTCGTCATTCACAGTTTCAGCACACATATCATCACAACATCTCTACTTTTATTTTATAATTGCATATCTTAAAAGATGTCAACATTTTTCAGCAGCTATCTTCTCAGTTAGATTTTAGACTCATATTAATAACGACTGTATATGATTTGCTCGCCTTCTGACAATCACTTTATTATTTCTACTCGTGCAAATTATTGTTTCTTATTTCACATATTGTTACTTACGTTCTGGCATCTAAATATAGGTTATCGGGTCAATGACGCCTAAAAATTCGAACTACAAGTGAACGTAGTCGAGTATTATAAAGCATGACACTTTTTTTTACTCCGCGACCTTGCGATTTACTATTCGCCAATAATAAACAAACAAAGATTTATGAACGTGATAGCATCGTAGTGAATGTTTGCAAAAGACACTATTTGACTTTTAGCCATTTTCAAAAGTGCAAAAGTTAAACAACCTTCGTTTAACACTATACAATAATTATTAATTATTGCTGTCTTAAAATAAGTTTATCGTGGCTTAGCGGTCTCAGTTCTGTTTAGATAGAATGTGAAGAAACATATTTTTATGATTCGAAACACTATTGAAATTATGAATATTTAAAGACATGTTTAATGTGAATGTAATGACAAAAACAGAGCATCAATATAAAAACAAGTTCATCAGTCATCCAAATTCACTAGCAAACTACTTAATAACAGAAAACTATCGACCTAGCTAGATTGACGAGAAAATCGCCCATTGATTTGAGTTATCAATTTTCCTCATAAAGATTGAAATAACTTAGTTATTATTTATAAGAAAGTA